ATATTATTATAGACAAAATTATAGTAAATTACTAAAATAAAATGAATCTATGAGTCAAAATATTCGATACATTTTGTTTTACTAAAGCTTATATCATGAATAGATGAATTAGTCGACAATGTTGAAAGTAGGAATGTAGCATAATGCCCACGTACGACGTACCAACTACTTAGTATCATTGTTCATTGTTTATAAATAGTATTTATTATTGTACAACCTAAAATTGTATTAGACTATTTTTAGAAATGCAATATTATATTTTTATTCTTAACATTAAAATAACAATATTAAATTACAACTACTGTGATGATGACAAGAAATTGGTCAGACAATATTAAAATAATAAAAACTTTTACGGTATACCTACGTCATAACAAATATAAAACGATGTTTATTGACATGTATACTGCCCTTCTAAGCCAGTAAGCAACAATGGAGTAGTTTTGAGAAAAATGAGTAAAAAAGTAACATTAGGTATAGCTAGTTGAATAATAATTATATTGGCGATAAAAATAACTCATTATAAATTATATAAATATAACTGATATTGGTTAATAGTTTGTTCGTCGATGTCAGTAGGAGGGAATTATCGGTATTTGTAATTTTAGTTAGCTTATTACTCTTCGTAAACATATTTATATTATTTTATATTAATATACATATTTTTTAAGTATTTTATGGACACATCAAGCAGCTTGAAACGCGTGAGTACGTTTTGTATTTCACTATACCGTTTTTTATTATTAATCACTAAAAGTGTTATAAATTACGATTCTGTAATTTAAATTAAAATAAAATGTATATTCAATAAAATATTTAACGGAATATATTTGCGGTCTTTGAACCTTGTTTATTTTTTACTCGTGTTAAAAAAGTTACCTACAGCTTAATCCTAGTATCTAATACCTAATCGGCGTTGACATTCTTATGTCAACTGTATTCAGTAGAAACAAGACATATACATGTACCTGCATATAATGTAGATACTCTTCGACTTTTTTTTGTTATTCTTATCAGAAAATAAATCATTCATTAACAAATGTAAAAATGTAATATGATATTAATATATAAATATATAAATGATTAATTTAACTATTGTTAAAATAATTCACCTACTTAATATGATTGACATAATTTTAAAACTTGATATCTGAGAACTTACTTAATATATTCTGTTGATTCTTTTTGAAATATATAGTTAATCAACTATTCTTACCTAAAAGGAAGTGCTGTATCTTCGATACAAGTATCTTAGATAAAATATTGATAAAAGATACGTGATAATACCCGTAAGATGAAATTGAATATCGTGGTGGGGGGGTTTGAGGGTTGTACAAAATTGTACAAAATAAAGTACATAGGTAACGCACCTTCAAATACCGCAGTACAACATTTAAACAAACGTTTGGGTGTTAATAACCGTTATTATTCAGGTTAATATTGGTTATTACGGGTGTTAAGTAGTTAAGGGAAAATCTTATTTTTCATTGGTAGAGGGTGGTGAGCCCCCTCCACTTATGAAATATTTATATTTTTTGTTACCTGCCTATGTAATAAAATAGCAATTTCTTATACAACTGTGCAACAGTTTTTAGACCTAATGATAGATTATCTTAATTTCAAGCAATCGTGTAACTACGATTTTTTTCGGGGAAGAGGGGATTATTTTATATGTGTATGAAGCTTATAAATTATAATATCTATTAAGATGAAAAATACTAACATTATGTCCTACTCCTAGTTAATGTGGGCATATCGCATGCGACAAAAAACAATTTTGTATTCTGCGTTTGTATTTGTGGCATAGGCGGAAATAGGGGAGGGCTTGAGGAGACTAAGCCCCTCAAAAATTTTAAGTACAGGTCTTAGCCCCTCTATCCAGGGGAGCCATTTAGGGGGGGGAGCAGGGTGTGCACTCGCACACCCTGAATTTTTTTCATCTTTAATTATTGGCTTAGGCGTCACTGATACATGGCCTTGCCACTTTGGCCTTCAGTTTTCCAATTTTTAATGTTGTGCATGCACCGTGGCTGATCAGTAATCACTGCTAATCATAAGTGTTGGCCTGGTGGTGGAAAAAAATTGGCCTCTTTAATTACTTGCACACCCTTAAAAAAAACTGAAATGACGCCCCTGCCCCTAGCCCTAAAAATTGTTAAGTGACTAAAAATACAAAAATTATTATAATTGTAAAATGCATTTTTTAATAACTGAATTAAAAAAAAAATATTCTGTGATAAAAATTAAATCAAATATGTAAGATTTTATAAACTTCTTGTCATGACTTGGAACTATCGCAATTAATGTAATTATAATAATATGTAATAATACCCGTATAGGTTGTTTAATTTAATTAAAAATATCTGTTTAGAATACCTACTCCAAAAATGTTTAAGATAAGGCATCTAATTGTTTTTTTGTTTAAATTGTTAATTAAAAATGTTAAATTGTCAAACTTCGTAAATAACCTTGTTGAAATAAATAATTGCGCACAGTGGTATCTATAAATATAATAAGCAAATAATGCTCAGCCCCCCACAAATTTTACCAAATTTCCCCTTATGGTTTGCGGTACGTGCACAGTGTGCACTGAACACACTAAAAACGCACTAGCTAGGACATAATATAAAAATAATAATAATTTGTACTTATGAATGTTATGATAAAATTATTACACCAACAAAAATTGTAAATTCACGACATCACGATATAAACATCTATACTACACGCTACACTGAATAAATACGAATAACGCGAACAACAATTTAGGTAATCATACGCGAGACATCAGTTCTATTTTAGATTTAAAGTATTGCAATAAATAACGACTCGGTGATTCGTAGAAGACCTATTACCTATTAAATTATAATAATACGACGTATTCGCTTGGCATAATTTTAAAAATAGTATCCCAGTTATTTACACTTGAACGTTCAATATACCATACCATTCATGCACAACTGTCAATATGATGTATTGCTATTGTCTTTATTTAGATAAATTTAGATTAATTAACAATTTTGTATATTATTTGTGAAATTATTCCTATGAATAATAATTTTACTATTAAACAATTAATGACGAAACTGAAATAACCACAAAAATACATACAAAATGATATATAACATAAAGATTGTAAAATAAAAAATTATTCGGGTTTCGGGTTGAAACCAATATTATATTCGGGTTTTGGTTAATTCGGGTGTTTAAAAAAAAAAAATCGTTCGGGTTATATGGGTTTTGGATGTTTGATTTTTTTAAGGGTTTTTAGAGGTGTTACAGGTTCGGGTTAATTCAGATGCAAAGCCCTGCCTAGAACCCAATTATATTCATCCGATGTAAATATTATTTCCTGTATAAATACACAAGAAATATTCACAAGTACACTTGGTATGTAGGTGTGTTTAAATTATTCCGTTTTTAGATTGAATTTTTTTCGGAAAAAATTGTTTTTCTTTTACGTTGTTTTTACGTTTAAATTTTTATAAAAAGTGTACATGTCGGTTTCGAGTAAGTCTGCCTAATATTTTCCTCTTATGGGTCATTTTTTTCTATAGAGGAATTCATTGGTAAATATATTAAACTATTAACATCATTCTAAAGTCTCTTGGTGACATAATTCCTCACAATCAAAACTATTATGCCTCGACAGAGCATCAATTGATTATGTACGTCCTTTAAAGATTATATTGGATTGTAAATAAACAATGGCCATTTAAGTGTTTTGGTACTATTTTTATTGAAGTATTTCGAATACTTATATTGGTTACATCGGATAGTTTATCCAAATTTTAGAGTAAATGATCAGGGGGATAGCTGCAGTTCTACTTTTCCAATTTTTTTAAGTTTTAAGCACTCTACTGTTACTTTTATTTAATAATTCGTTTTAGTAAGAATTTTTTTTAACATTTGAAAAATAAGCAGGACCACACCAAGTTTTAAGTCTGCTTATCCCACTGATATTATAAATTACTATTTAAATTTTGGATTACTACTTATCACTGAGCTTTCTGAATTCCTGATTTTAGAGACATTTGGAAGACAGTTTATAGTAACACTATCTATAGATCAACACGGTTTTTATCTCTGCAATTCATCATTATTAATAGAATTCATATATTCTCCTATATTCTAGATGTTTTTGAACTTTATCACCAGTTAATGTTGTTTATAAAGATTTCAAACATTTTTATAAAATTAATATTCCAGAATATTATAATGAATTGCAATTGTGCATTTGTATGTAGGTAGTATGGTAAAAAATGTTTAAACACTCATAAAACCATGATAAATGTTAGTTAAAAATGATATTTTACAGAACACTTTGAAAAATAAATTTTGTTTACTTGATTAATAACGAATGTTTACATTGGATAAATCAGGTAGAAGATTTAAGATTTACATTAGGGCCTTCGTTATCATTCTGTAATCATGTTAAGTTAATTACATGCAAAGCTCTAAGTATTTTGAATTTAAACGTTGTAATGCGTTGGACTTCGGCCAAGTCCATTGCATTTAAATTGTATATTAGTGATGGATTGAACATTGATTTTAAAAATCGAACTGTACTTGAACCGAACTTTAAAATATTTTTTCGAACCCGAACCTAACCGAACTTTTTTATTTTTTTATTGGGCTGAACAAACCTAGAAATATTTTAAGTCAAACTTGAATTCAAACTTTTAAATTTGATGATCTATGATAAAATTATTACACTCATAAGTTGGTAATAACAAAAATAAAAAATAAAAATAATAATTGTTCTGATGAGTTAGATCTTTCACAGTGAAATATATTTCCTTTCAACGATAAACATATTAATAGATAATTAATTCAACTGTGTTTCTTTTATCGTAAAAAAATAAATAACCTTTAAGCACATCACAGTTTGTTAAGCATTGAAGCAGAAATACAATTTTTATTTAAACCATATGATAGTGTTTAAAAATAGGCATTATAAATCGTATGGGGTAATCTGTTTACGTAGGCATCAATATTACCTGATTCCTCCTCGGCTAGTGTCATAATTTAGGCTTGTCGACTCGTGACGCCATACAATGAATTGACTGGGTTGAGGTACTTTGGTTATATAGCATTTGAGTTCTATAGTGCTACCCACATAGTAAAATTTATCTTTCACTTGAACGCCTCTTTCATCTGTTATTTCCAGTTGAGGCACTGTAAAAACGCAAAATCACATTTTATTTAATAATATACTACCTATACAATAGTAGGTATAATATTAAATGGCCTTGAAGAGTGGTATTTTTTTAATCTAGTTACATGCAGACAACATTGATTTAATGAATTACGTTTTTATTAAAACCTGAACAATATACCTACAAATACTCAAATGATTCATATTTTTTTTTTTTTTACTAAAAAAATTGTTTTTTCCTTCTTGTTTATCGAGTTGTAGAAATAACAATTAAATTAATTATATAAAGAACCCACCCACCCAACCACCTATAACTATATAGTAACATAATAGTCACTTATAGTAAGAAAATGCATTAATATAAATTCTAGGATTCGATTTAGAGATAATTTAATACGCTGAAATGGAAAAACAAATTTAATAACAGAATATATTGATTTCCATTTTTTTTGAGTTTTAAAAATTGTTTGTCAGTTTAATGTGATAAATCAGAAGGGAGCTGGTCTTCAATTTTATAATCATATAACTTTTAAATCATATTCGATTGAATATTTAAATATATATAATTAAAATAGTAAAATATGTAACTTGACTTAATAATACAGTATATCTCATAAAATCCGTATCACCCTTAATATCTCCACGGGAAATCAATATATTTAAACGCCGTTTTTTTTTACACTACTTATTATGGAAATTCTGATTGAATGGCATAATATTCAATTTTTTTTTTAAAAAAATTCAAAACATAATTTTTTATGCATTTAAGAATTTTCCATTATTAAGATAGCCATTTTCTTGAGCTTATTTTATAAAACAGTTCAAAAAATAAAAATAAAAAATAAAATATTAAAATTGAATAAAAATTGAACAAGTTAGAGCAATTTATGTTTTGAATAATTTTAACAAAAAAATAAATTGTTTCACATTTGAATAATCCAGTGCTTTGGCCACATAAGTCGCCCAACTTAACACCAATGGATTTTTTTTTATGAGGTTATTTGAAAAATCTTGTGTGTCCGTCGTATTCATTGCCTGATCTCCGAGACAAAATTGAACAAAATATTAAAAATATTTTACCTGAGACATTAGAAAATGTAAAAAACGCTTGGGTCCAAAAACTTCAGCTGTGTATTACAAATAATGGAGGTCACTTCGAACATTAATAAAATAAATGTAAAGCATTATTTTCGTTTTTATGTAATAAAATCTTTTTTTTTTTTCTATTAACAATCAAGTTTAAAAATATTGTATGAATTTTAATTTTAATATTTCCTAAAAGCTCCACTAATAATTAGATGTTTACAGATTGCCATAAAAAATTAGCGTTCCAATCGAGATTGATTAAATCGAGCAATTCGTGTTTTTCTAGGTAACAACTGTTATTATAATTATTCAAAAACATAATTTGCTCTAACTTGGTCAATTTCTAATAAATTTCAATATTTTTATTTTTTTTGAACTGTTTTAAAATATATTCTCAAGAAAATGGCTATCTTAAAAATGGAAAATTCTTAAATACATAAAAAATTATTTTTTTAAATTTTTAAATTTTTTTAAAAAAAAAAAATTGAATTTTATGCCATTCAATCAGAATTTCCATAATAAGTATTGTAAAAAAAACGGCGTTTAAATATATTGATTTCCCGTGGAGATATTAAGGGTGATACGGTACTTATGAGACTGTATATTAAAAACGTTTTGAATAATATATATAATTAAATAAATAAAAATGTATCTTATATTTCTGTATAACTGAATCCTTCAAAATATTAAAAATGATTCAAAACGTGGTTGGAGTACTTACCTATGATAGTTAGATATACGCTGAAAGTAATTGGTGGATGGGTTGATACTTGACATTCATAATGGCCAGCGTCTCTTTCGTTCAAATAGGATATACGTAGTTGCCAGTCATTTGGATCCTTGAACAGAAGTTCATAACGTTGGTCTGTACTGTACACATGGTGACCGAACGAAAGTAGTTGCATTTTTTCACCGGCTCTTCGGACCCACGATACCTGTCAACGTGATACAAACAAATAAATAAATATTTATGCATATATCATAAAACTTTGATTTATGTTTGAAATTCACTCCTGTCGAAAAGGATTTCATTTATACGATACAAGCAATAAGTTATTTCTATTGTACGATCTTTATACGGAAAAATGGGACACGAAAGAACTTGCACATTTTCCCGAGATGAAGAAGATCCTAACTTTTAAAAATCTCGATGTATCATATTAGAACAATAATAATCATTATTATTATTATTGTTATAAATGTTATAATATTATCATATCTGACTAAACATCTTTATTGATATTTAAATATTCATTGTGTAATTTCCATATAATTCCATTATAGTAACTGGTTCACAAAACTGCACTAAGATATTGTATTTTTAAGTCATGAAAAGTGGATTAAAATTTAAATGTTTACATTTATTCTTTGATTATTCCGCTGGAATGTTAGATAGCAAAATAACGAAATATATCAATATTCAGATAAGTAGTATTAATATTTTATATTCTTTTGAAATGAAAAAACAATGCATATATATTTGTAACAGTGGGATGTGTAAACTCTGTGTAGAACAATAAACTAATTCAAAGCCCTCCCAAACAAGAACCCTAAATTCGTGTCTGGGGAAATGCTATTTGTAATAATGAATTACCACAAAAAAACATTATGTTTTTATTATGAAATCGTACAAATAGCAGATAAGCTCGGCGATTTTCAAATGCATTATTTTTAATTGCACGTTTAAATACAAAAAAAAAAAAAAAAACAGAATCTCAAAACTGATCTCAAAACCAGTATTAAATACCAGTAAATACCCATAAAAACCGATATGGAAATTAAAATATGAAAATCAAAACATTTAAAAATGATTTTCCAAATCAAAATCAGATGATAAAATCTAAGATCGTAAACCCATAAAAGGAGAATCGGTATTATGGCTTTATTTTGTTTCGCCATAAAGGTTTGCACACATTGCTGCGGTAGACGGTACGGTAACGATACGATAAACAATATTTCATTCATGGGGCAATTTTTATCGTCATAGTTCGCACACTGATTTGGTAATAACATGGTTTAACATGCGGTAAAATATCGTGCTAGAAAATGTACTGTCAAAACTAGCCCACACTGCTCCGATGTTGCTTACGATACATCAAGCATGCATACTGGAATGTTGTGGTACCTTCTCATATACCCTCTCAAACATTTTTTTTCGACACAGCAGACACAGAAGATTAATTTGAATATTTTTGCTAATAACTAATAAGCTCTAACCCTCCCATCAGATGTTTTTGTTGTAAGTATAATATGTGCTTATGATACGTAATTAATATTAAAGAAACTGTGTATCAAAATTATAATAAATTATTAATATTACACATCAATGCAAGAATTATATAAAATATAAAATACAAAATAATAAATTAAATAAAAATAGACACAAAAATGTATAAAATATTATTTACATTTATATTACAATATAAATTGACTTTCAAAGTATGCAGTTCATTTTATTTTAAATAAAATACTAAATACTTAATAGTATGCTTAAATTTTAATTTGTTTTATGCAAAATTTAAAATAACCATAAAACTATTAAATACTTATGTTTTTAATAATTAAAATTAAATAATTATCATAATATGGTAACATATTATACCTTAATTATTAATTATTAACAAAATATACCTTAATCACCTTTATTTCATTGCACCTTATTTTTATCCGATTACATAATATACAAAATAAATAATATAATAACCCAAATGTAAACTGGAAAAAATGTAAAATATTTCATGTAACTGAAATTTAAAACGGAAAAATCTGCAAATCGGTATTTAAAACTGAAATAGAAACTAATAAAATCAAAAACCACAAATCAAAATCATTTCGGTTTCAATCCCTGACTTTCTGACAGCTATTAACTTCATATTCTGTAGAGATTTAAATTCGTTACTAAATTTAGTAAGATCTTCAATACTCAGAGTTATTATGAGTTACAAATATTTTAACGATGTTTAACGATATTTTAACCATGGGGATTCTATATGGGGGTGTATGGTGGATATATCACTCCATGATCTATTATTTTTATTTGCATATTCAACTAATATACTATTATAGTAACAATACAACAAATAAGTATAATCAATAAAAATGTTTGTTTGTTTGACTCGTAATCATTTCCTATACAGTTGGTAAACAGATGACTTACCACAATTACAGATATATTTATTACTGTTCTTATTTTACAAACAGTTGAGTTCATATATTGATATAAATTATAAATTATTCACTTTATACCATTGAATAATAATACAAGTGCTCGGAATGGAAAATTGTATGAACCGTAAGCTTATAAAATTAATATTCGGATAATATTCGTAATATACATTTTTAATTTTAACTATTTTAAATGATTACTTTACAATAAAATATAATTAATTAAAAAGACAATAAATATATAGAGTAAGCTATTTTAAGTTTAAAAAATTTAACTATACAATTAAAATGTAATAGCTTATAATAATTTCCACAATGCTGCGTAATGAATATTTAAAATATTTTTAATATTAATACAATTTATTTTACATTATATTCATTAATTACAAATTATTTTTAACACAGATTACCTATATATTTATATTTCTTAATAAAAAAATATTAAATTTATTATACAATAAAATACATATAATCACAACTACGGTTTAAAGTTCAACATACGGGTTTAAATTCAGTTTTTACTCACGGGTATTTGAGGTCAATTAGGTAGTAGTTGTAATACTTGTAACTTTGACGTAATATTATAAATATATTGGTAACGTCAATACAAGGGCGTTGCACACATTTAATGGCTACTAAATACTGTGATTAACCTTAGTCGGTCGAAAGATTTCACTCTATTAGTTTTTTCCTATCAAGCCGTCTTATCAGAGACCAAGGGATAACCAAAGGCAGTAAAAACCGCTAGTCAGATACTATTGGTAAGCACAGTGCTTCGTAAAAAAGTACCGATATATCGTTTCGGATGCTTCTTTTTAAGTCCGACCGAGTCTATATAAAAGTGTGCCGCAACGATGTATACGCTTTATCCGTCTTCTATATGTCGATGATATGTTGATCGATGCGCGCGTTCTGCAGGTTATAATTTTGTGATCGAGCGCTTTATTGAACAAGTTATGCCATTAGGCGTCACGTCGTGAGTTATCATTTTTATGTTCGTTATAGCTGTGTATTTATTGTCATTTATTTTTCACTTTTTTGCTACTTGCAGTGTCATCAGCGGAATATCTATCGTTGACTTATCTTGAGCTTATATATTTTTCAGGAGAAATTTAATGAATGTAAGTTCAACACAAATGACAAATATAAATGCAGATACTGTACTAATATTTAATGAAAGTTTGAAATGGTTATAATTTCATTAATTAAATTGAAATTTTGCTCACTCTCAATTGTAGAAATAGGTATAGTGGCTACAATGTTAAAAGAAATTTCTAAGTTGTTAGGAACGCTTTTTCAACCTCCTTTCCATTTGTAATATCGTTAATTAGGTTAGGTTAGCTAACCTATAGTTAATTTTTTAAATTTATTTTTAAAATGTAATTGAATATTAAATTTAATCGTCGAATCAAATACTTTATTGTTTTCCTAATAGATTTATCGACTTCCACAAGAGTGATAATACGCCTTTGCAAATTACGCGGTTCCTGTCCAACTAAATGAAATAAATTTAATTCAGAGTCATGATTTTATTGACTTTGTGTATACTTGTAGATAATTTTTTTTTTTATTAGAAGTAAGGCTTCAACATCATAGGTTATTAGCCCGGTATACATTTTATAGTATTATAAATGGTTGAAAACAAAAATAAAAATTACAAAAAGTATTAAAACTTAAAGACTATGGAAAAGATTTAAAAATTATTAAAATTTGTTTATAAGATTAATTTTAGTTAGAAATGAAATAATTTTGAGGATGTTTTTTGCGTTGAGTGCTTCATCCATATTAAGAGGTATTGCTAGGTTGTTTCGTATGTCTCGATACTTGCTGCAATCAATGATAATGTGTTGAACTGAAAGGTTAGTGTGGCATTCGTCACAAGTGGGTGGTGGATTTTTGCTAATGAGGAAAGAATGGGTTAGATATGAATGTCCGATTATGCATCTCGTGATTGTAACTTCCTGTCGTCTGTTGAGGTAATCAGGTATGGTCCATTTCTTTGTATTTTTTAAATAGTTTTAAGTTTATTAGAGGGGGAATGGTATCCCAATAATTTTGCCATTTGGAAAATATTTTGTATTTGATAGATGTTTTGATGTCATTAGTCGGTAGATTGGATATAGTTGGATGGGGGATAATTCTAGTTGCATGGTCGGTTGCCTTGTTAACCATTTCGTTGCTGGTTATGTCTGTATGGGTAGGTATCCACATAAGTTCAATGGTTTTTGAGATCGATTTTAATACTTTTTGGATATTTTGGGTGATTTCATTTGAGGGTTGAGGCTTTTAAAGGACAAGTAAAGCACTGAGCGAGTCGCTTAAAATTAGAATATCATTTGAGATGATGGTTTTGGCTAATATAATAGCTTTGTAAATAGCTTATATTTCAGCAGAGAATATGCATGTTTCTGATGGTAGTTTACGAAGCAATGTAATATTATCTTGAAAAATTGCAAAGCCGACTCCACGTGTAGATTTTGATGCATCCGTGTATATTTTCGTGAAATGTGAGTATTTGGTTTAGATAATATCATAGAAAAGAGAGATGATAGTATTAGAATTTTTGTCGTGTTTGCTTTGTTGTAAAAGCTCAGTATTTACATTGATTTGCCAAAGCCAATTGGGGTGGTTAGAATATGTGATTTCGTTTATTGTAGATGTGCATATATTAAGATTATTAATAAGCTTGAAAAAGATTTCATGTATTGACGACAAGGGTTTTTTATTGAGGCTATTCTATTTGAGGTTTGGTTGTTGAAGATGTTGTATC